CTGGTGGGTGTCCACCTCCCTCATCTCTCTGTGTCCTACTGAGCTCCGCTCGGCTGCTCCTGGGTGGCCTTCCCGGTGACAGAAAGGGGCCTGGGTTTCAGAGGCTCTGCTCCTGTCTGGCCCCTCCAGGAGACTAGGACTTCCAGGTGAGGACCCACACCCACCCACAAGGGGAAAGAAGCCACAGGTTTGCTCCGTTGCTGCCTCCTACCACAAATACTCATTTTTCAGTGGTTCTACTTTTAAAAAGGAGTTGCCGCCTTCCAGACATCAGTGGTTTTGGCTACTAAACAGGAAGCTCAAAGCCCTTTCCGTTCCTTTGAGCCGGCTAGAAGGGCTGGGCTTGGAACTATTACTTTACTTAAAAGACAGAAGAAAAGTTCTGTGTGGTTGTACAAAACAAAACAGAAACCCTTTCCTGGAGGCCCATACGCCAGCCTTGGTTGATACACAACACAGAAAGGGGCGGCTTTGTTGCCTGGCAGTAATGACAGCAAACAAATGTGGCTGACAGTCTGTTTGGCATCTCCTGGTCTGAAATTCTGTTTGCTTCATCCTAATTGCTTCCTTAACTTCCTTTTAGACTCCCCACCTTCGGCACCACCCTCACTCAAGGCCGCGCCAAGCTGTGCCAGGTTGTGCTAGGCTGGGCCAGGCCCACAGGATACGGCGACCCAGCCGGGGCTATTCTTGTCTGTGTCTACTTGCAAGATGCCTGTTGTTCTCGGTGGCTGTTTTTCCCATCATAAATGTTGACTTGGCAAGGGGCCCCAGGGTGGAAGCCGTGGTGGAGGAGCTTCCAGAGTCTGCCTCAGAAAATGCAGCTGGTCCTGAGTGCCAGGCTGAGGAAAGAGAGGCTCGAAGGCGTTGCCTCTCGGGGTGCCTGGGCAGATGCTGTCATCAGGACAGCCCTGACTGGGTCCGGCACCCTTCCCGAGCATGGGCCTCAGCCAGCACTCTCTCAAAGGACCGGCCTGCGGGAGCTGTTTGGGCCTGGCCTGTGAGGTGCCTCTAGGCCTGGCTGGCGGTGCTCTTCTCTGCCTGCGCACTCCCCTCAGCCCTGCTCTCTAGGAACTGTTGTCTCTGTCAGGCTAGAGGAGGCAACTGTGGGGCGGTGCCCTGAAATATATCGGAACCCCTGAGGCAGTGGCCTATCTGTAAACGGCTTGAGCATGTTCTTTCATAGGTGTGCACTTACTTGTAAATAGTGCCTGTGTACTGTTATGCAATGTGAACATTACAAACATATAAAGAAAAGTTTAATGAACACATTTCTTTCTTTCTTTCTTTCTTTCTTTCTTCCTTTCACACTATTGGAGATTGAACTCAGGGCCTTTGCTATATCCCTAGCCTTCTTTATTTTTGTCTGTATCCATAAGATTTACTGTTCTAAGGTCTCTTTCTCCTTTTTTGTCTTTTTGAGACAGGGTCTCGCTATGCAGTTCAGGCTGGCCTTGAACTCACTTTGTAGCCCAGGCTGGCCTCGAACATTCAACCCTCCTCCGCCTCAGCCTTATCACACCTGGCCCCTTGTCTTTATTATTTTGAGACAGGGTCTCACTATGCAGTTCAGGCTGGCCTTGAACTCACTTTGCAACCCAGGCTGGCCTCGAACTTGCAATAATCTTGCCTCAGCCTCCTGAGTACTGGGTTCTAGGTGTGTGCCACTATGCCTGGCTTAATCTTTATTTTATTGAAGGTGGTATATATGATTGGGTATGCTCTTTTTTGTATAGGCAATGATTCATTCACATCATCATCCTGAGCTACAAAAATCTTGAAAAATGGAAACACTGCCAAGTGTCAGTTGGCTACAGGGACTTTGCTGCAGGTGAATCTCTTCATGATATGCTGCCATGCTAAAAAAACTATGGCATCAAGATTGAGTTCCTGTAGCACCAAAAAAGCAATATTCATAGTGGGCTGGGGCTGGGGATTTAGCTCAGCGGCACAGCACCTGCCTGGCAAGTGCGAGGTTGTGAGTTCGATTCCTGGTACCAGAAAAAAACAAAACCAAAAAAAAAAAAAAAAATATTCATAGTGGGCTAAAAGCAATCCCACAGACAAAGTGAAACCCAGGACGTAGATGATACCTGCTAACCCGGGAAAGGGCCCAGCAGGGAGCCATGTGTGGTAACTGCTTGGAGGATTGTCTTGCAAACCTTCTGGGGATACTACTGCCCTGGAAGGTCTCACAGTGTTACCTCTCCCCAATTCCTAATCATGTCTAACAGATAGCAGATGATCAATGAATATTTGAGAAACAGATGAATCTGGTGGGATGTAGTGGCACATGCCTGTAATCCCAGCACTTGGGAAGCTGAGGCAGGAGGATTGCTGCAAGTTCAAGGCCAGCCTGGGCTATCTGGTGAGTTCAAGGCCAGCCTAGATTACAGAGTAAGACCGAGTCTTAACAAAACAAAAACAAAAATACATGAATTTATTTTTCAAGCCCTTTTCCTGTCATACATGGTGATGCTATTTTTCTTCATGTTAATTTCTTGCTTTTTTTCTAGGATTTGTTTTCACATGGCCATCTTCTTCCATATTCTGAGCTTGAAGCTCTTGGCAAATGTTCCTTGAAGGGTGACACACCTGATGACCCATAATTAGTACATGGAATCATAAGAGAATATAATTCTGGAGCTAGAAGGGGAATGGGTGGACAACTAGTCTCTTATTAAAGTCAAGCTAAAAATAAGTCGGGGCATATCCGTAGGATGGAGTGCTACTTCACAACAAAAAGGGGTTGAACTATTGATTTATAGAACAGTGCATAAAAGAATTAGGCTGAGTGAAAGAAGCTAGACAAACAACATTATTACATACTGTATGATTTCATTTATAAAAAATTCCAGAATATAAAAGTGGGTGACAGATAGCAGTGGTGGCCTATGGATCTGCAGTTGGGAAGGGGTCAGAGGTGGGAGGAAGTGTTTGGGCGTGGTGGCTAATCCACCTTGGTGGCGATATGCTCACGGGTACAAACAGACGTCAGAACTGATCCAGTGGGATGTTTTAGACCTGTACAGTTTATTATGTGTCAATTATACATCAATAAAGTTGTTTAAAGAAAAAAAACAGAGGCAGGCAATTCACTCATGGGATAAATATTTAACTAGTACCCGTGTGCACCAGATTCACACGCGGTGAGCGGAGGTTCGGAGAGAGATGGAAGACAGGGTCCCCACCTTCAGGGCTCGCAGCCTGGGAGGGAGGGAGATGAGTGGATGACCGAAATCCAGATCGCTAAGTCTAAGAGAAAGGGAAACCCAGGGACAGGAGGGGTCGGAGTGTGGGCGTCAGTGGCGCCTCTGCTGGGGAGGTCGGGAGGGCCTTGCGAAAGAGAGGAGCGGAAAGAAGGCTCAGAACCGGTCACATAGAAGCCTCCCCGCAGAGGGAACAGCATGGGCAAAACTGGGGACCTAACCACCACCTGTGGTTTGTCTTGACTAGAGCAAAGGACACGTGGGAAAGCAGGAAGCAAAGAGCCTGGCGAGTTGGGCAGAACCAGATCTTCAGCCTTTTGCTGCCCTCGAGGGCCTGAGGTGCCTTTGTGTCCCAAGGCTGCACAAACAGTGTCTCCCATGGAGGTCAGGGTCCCTGGGCAGCACTTGGCACAGTGGACCTTGGCCGTGGGTGAGGCTGTGACTCCCAGAGTGGTTCCATTGTACCTGGGCGGTCCTGTGTTTCCCCAGGGCTGTCTCAGGACCCCAAAGAGGAGAGAGTTGGGTTAGGTCTGGGCAGCAGCTGGGCAGCATCAGCTCCTTGCGGCTGCACCTGGCACTGAGGGCACCTGCTGCATCTGAGTAGGGGAGGCAACCAATAGTGCAGCTGCCCTTGAGGCAGTTTCTCCATAAAGAATTTTGCCTTTCTCTGGCTGGTGCATCAATCCCCAAAGTCTTGTGCTTCTGATGCTGTCCTGGTTTGAGCACTTGCCTTTTAGTTATCTGCTAGCCAGTCACCCCCAGATTTATTTTATTTTATTATTTAGTACCAGGAATGGAACTCAGGGCCTTGTGCTTGCCAGGAAGGCACTATGCCGCTGAGCTACATCCTTGGCCCCAGACTTAAAGAGTCCTTCCTGCCTTGTTTTTAGAGTGGTTTGCAGAGCAGACTAGGATGTTACATTCAGGATACGATTGCCATTCCACATTAAAAATGCAGGCAGCAGTGCAGAACACGGCTGGCTCCTGTCAGCCAGACATCTTGGTGTAACCAGAGGAGGGAAACATGGACAGGACTTGTGCTAATGGAAGCAGATGCCAGATTGCATGGTAAGCTCCGGCTCCTGTTTGTCTTGCTTCCTGCTACTCTCTGGCCAGAAGAAAGACGCTCATATTTAGGCTGGAGGTAAAAATGGGATTTCTGCCTAGTGAGCATTTCTGTGATCTTGAGATCAAATTGCTTACACTTCAGAAGGGAAGCTCCCCTCATACCCTGGGGAGGATCGCAACTGTCATGGCAGAGAGGACCTCCCAGAAGCCAAGAGGAAGGACAAGTGTGGTTGTCACAGTTTCTTCGTATGCTAGGGAGTCTTTGCTGTCTTCGGTAGGACTGGGCCCGCAGAGCAAGCAGAAGTGCTCACCCTGGTTTCCCAGGCCCCAGTCGGCGTTGGGGGTGTGATGGCCAGCACACATGGTTGGAATCAAGTGGGACCAGAAAGGGCAATGTGGATTAATTATCTCAGCTGGATTAGTTCTGTCAGGCAGTGTCAGGAGGGAAGTTTTTAATGACACCCCGGAACTTGCTGGGGTGTTTTTTCCTCCCGTTTTCTCACCTGAGCTGGTGAAAATAGTCCAAGTGTGGGCTGGTTTGAGCTCTGTAGCTCTCCGTTCTGCCTTCTCCTCCCCCCATGCCATCTGCCAGCTAGACGGTTAGCGGGGTTAGTGCTCCCTTCTGCAGTCCTGGAAGGTCACGCTTGCTGTGATTGGGGCTGGCTTCCCATGTGGGTAGATGGAATGGGTATCTAACGCTCGGTTTGTTTTCTTGCATTTCAGTCGTTCCAAGGAAGTCAAGGACGAGCATATCTCTTCAATTCAGTGTGAGTGTCTCTGAATTGGCCTATCTGTTGTTTTATACAAATTTAGAGGGATGGGGAAAAGCAGCTCAGTCATTCCACAGTGAACCCTGCCTCCTGTGCCATAATAAAAACAGTTTCTACAATCAGTAGTCAGTTACCTTTGGGGATTTTTTTTTTTTTTTTTGGCAGCATCTCTGGCTAAAAATAATATATTTACTACACTGTCCTCAGTAGGTACATTAGAGGGTGGTGGTCCCCAGTGACAGAGCTTCTGAGGACATCCCATAACCAGATCAGAGATTTGTCACTGGGGAAGAGAGTGAGGGGACAAAAGATCTTCCCCAAGAACTACTGAGGAACCTGAGGATGAAGGGGTAGCTCAGCTGGGGCAGAGCCTCTGTCCCCTACTGCGATCCCAAGCTGTCTCCTGAGAAAGAAAGGTGGAACTCACGTAAGCCTGGTGAACTGAGAAAATGGAAATCCTGCCTGCTCGCCTTGAAATGGGGGGTGTGAAGGAGCACGGCACATTTAATGTCCAGGCTCACCCATCCTTGTGATGACAAGACTGCCGGCGTGTCTGCCATCTTTGGCTTCATTCAGTCCTCTGTGAGCTTTGAGGATGGTGGAGCCCTTCTTGGCTGTGGACTGCACAGGGTAGCTGTCATTTTGTCCCCTTATGTCACAAGATTCAGAGTATTTGTTAGAAAAATCCTGAGCAAAGTCTCAACAAGGACTATTTTAACAGACCCACTGAATTCAGCCTTGCCGATCTGGAATTCATTCCAACTGAGATGTTTCCCTATGGTTACCTTTTTGGAGATGTTATTGATTTCAGTGTTTGACCAGATTCTTCTCAGTGTTGGTTTCCCTTGGGGTGGCCTTATCTGGCCTTAATTTTTGCTGGCTGCTCAGTTTGAACAGCTAAAGATGCAGGTACATGTGATTGACTCTCCTCTCTGCCTCTCTTTTGGTGTAGAGTTAATGTGGGCTGTGGACCTGCAGAAGAGCGAGTATTGCTAACAGGACTACATGCAGTTGCAGACATTTACTGCGAAAACTGCAAAACCACTCTGGGGTGGAAATATGTAAGTACCGAGGAGACTGGTGGGAGAAAGCTATGGGGGGGAAGGATGAAGGGCTTCATGCTTCCAGAAGACTTTCTGCTGCCGGCTTCCTATGGCCTTGTTGAGTTGTCTTTGATCAGGACAGAAAGGGCACAGCCATCTGTCTGCTAGGCGCATCCTTCTCTTTGCACTGCTTACCCCCGCTCCTTTATGCTGGTCCCTAAGATGCAGGCGTCCACGCACACACACACACCTAGACCTGATCTCAAGAGCACAGAACATTTTCTGAAACCTTACTGTATGCTAGACATACACGATCACATTCACGTCTCACAGCATCCTTGGAGATTAGGTGCCACTGTCATCCCTATTTATGGATGGGGATCCTGAGACGGAAGAAGGTTAATAGTATGCTCAAGGTTACCTAGCTGTCAGAGGGCCAACGCAGGATAGGACTCTGGGTAGCAGTCTGACTGTCATGCTCCAATAAATGTTCCTAGAAAACCACCGGGGTCCTAGTCATGTGCTAGGCATCATCAGACCTTATCTTAATGTACACTGTGTGGTATTGTTGCGGCTGGACTCTCCCAAATGGATCATCTTTCTTTCATTGTTTAGCTCAGTAAAAAAAATGTTAAGGCCCCCTTGGGATCTAGGAAGAGTGAGCAATCCTTTGCCAAGGTGAGAAAAGGGATCTGCTGCTTTAAGCACACTGGGGACTGGCAGGGTGTGGTGGTGCGCAGCAGTTGGGAGGGTGAAGCAGGAGGATCACTGAGAACTGGAGGCAGCCTGGGCTACACAGTGAATTTAAGACCAGCCTAAACTGCATTGTAAGACCCCGCCTCAAAAATACAAAACAAAACTCTGGGCGTGGTGGTGCATGCCTGTAATCCAAGGCTGAGGCGGGAGAGTCGCTGTGAGTGTGAGCCAGCCTGGGCTACAAAGTGAGTTCAAGGCCAGCCTGAACTACATAGCGAGAGCCTGTCTCAAAAAAGACAAAAAAACAAAACAAAACGCCACACTGCAGACTAAACGTTCTAACATGCATTGGGGTCACCACATAAGCATTGACACAGCCTTCACACCCCATCTGACTAGAGGTTTGCTTGTTTATTTATTTATTTAATTTATTTTTGAGACAGGGTCTCGAAAAAATTACAGTGTGATACAGGTGTGTCGCTGTAGGTTCCACAGCTGTCACTGAGGGACCGCGTTGGTGTGAGATTCTGAAAGTGCGGGTCTAGTTAGGGATATCCTGGAAGTCTTGTTAGTTTCTGCTGTTTTGCTGTGGGTCCAAGATGCCTCAGGGAAAATAAAGCTTATTGGGGGATATATAAAATAATATGAGCAACAGGTACCAGGCACAGAGGTATGATTCCATGTAAATAAAGTTTGAAAATGTGCAAGTCATTAAAATGAGAACTGCCACAGGCAGAGGTGCTTGGCGGTGCTGCCTCACTTCCGTTTCTCACCTCCCTGGGAATGTGGAGCACTAGAAAGAAAAATCTAGACGGTCAGTGTGTTTCTTGATGGAAGGCAGCGTCACTGCTGCCACTGTGGCTGGCTTGAAACTGAGGCTTGGCATCTGGCCCTCTGCGCAGTTACAGGCTACCCTGACCAATGGCTGGTGCGGGGCACAGTTCTGGTTTCGATTATCAAGAAGCCTTCCACTCCCTCCTGTGTTTCCCGGCCTCTTGGCTGTCTTCTTCATCGAGGATGTATTGGATTACGTAATGAAAGATAAAACAAGTTGCTTGGTTTTGCTCCTAACTTGAGGTTCAGGTAAAATGAGTCACTCATTTGATAAAGTTTTATTGAAAACCTTCTACAGGATACAAAAGTGAATGAGTGCTTGCGTGGTATGTGCGTGGCCCCTGGGTTCAATTCCCTGCACCACAAAAGAAAAAAAAAAAAAAAGGAATCAGATCTGTTCTCTGCTCTGAACACATTTACAGTCATGATGCCAGGGAGAGAAGGAAGCCACATGCAAACAGCACAGCTTGGCGGGTCGGGTGGTGTGTGCCAGACAAGACATACCCAGCTCCCAGAATATTTACAGCTTCCCAGGTACTCGCTGCTCTGTGTGCCAGATTCGCACGTCATTCTTTCATTATTTTTTCTGACCATCAAAATAATCCTGTGAAGTAGATAAAATATTTTGAACCTCAAAATAATCTTTATTTTTTTTTTATTTTTTATTTTTTGGTTTTTCTCCAGTACCGGGAACCGAACTCACAACCTTGCACTTGCCAGGCAGGCGCTTTTGCCACTGAGCTAAATCCCCAGCCCCAAAATAATCTTTAAATATCCCAGTGTTGTCATTAAATGGAAAATCAGGTGATTAAATGAAGCAACAGAAATGAGATCCACAGGGTGCTTCTGTAGACCCCAGGTCTGGTGCTCTTATCACCGGGGTCCGGTGCTCGTGTTTCACAAGTACCGGTGTGGCTTGGGGCAGTCGGATTTTCCTTTTTCTTTTTTCACTTACTGGGAAAACACCCACTCTTCATCTTGCTTTGTCATCCCCTCTGACCCGAAACACGTTATTATGTAACACTCATTCCCAAACCACATTTCTGTGTTGTGTTTGCATGCATGCGTGTGTGCAGGGGTGTGTGCACATACACACACACACACACACACACACACACTTGCAACCAGGGAATCAGGAAATTGCTGCTGTGCCCACAGGTCCTGCATGTGTGTGTGTGTGTGTGTGTGTGTGTGTGTGTTGTCTACATACCCTCCGTCCTGACTTGATCCCCCCTTTCCTCCTCTCTCCTCCCCTTCCTTCCCTTCCCCGCTCTCCTTCACTCTTCTCCCTTCTCCACCTTGTGGAGTGGTTCCTTCCTCCACAGAAGATCCAGTGCTGAGCTCTTGTTTAGAACTCAGACATCCTGGGGCTCTAGAACAGTAGGTGCAGCTCCTACGGATGGCCCCAGAAGCTGCCAGCTGTGGGGTTCAGTTGCTCGTTCACTTGGGGACGCAGTGTGCAGAGCTAATGGCCAACACTCCTGTACTTTGAGTGTAGCCACGCAATGACTCCAGGGACCGGTGTTCTCAGATGACCTGCCAGAAAGTTCTTAGTGTCTCTGGCTGCAAACAAAACAGCCCTGACCCTGCCTCTGCACTGGACTGCTTGTTCTGGATTGATTCATTGGAAGAGCCCACAGTGCTTTAGGATGCGAAAGGAACCCGCCAACTGTTTGGATTGAGTTTCCCCTTTGCAGGCCTGGCCGTTGAGGGCTGCCAGGTTCTCCAGTCTAGGGTTTATACAGCTTCTGTCCCCGGGAGAAAGGCGGTGAGAGGAGGGGAAAAGAAAAAGAGGGAAGAAGCATAGGTAAAGAGAAGAAAAAATGTACTTGACCCATCTGTCATAGAAAGAGCAAGAACAAGGAGACAAGGGAAATAAAATAGGGGCCTGTTTGGCCTCAGAATTCTTGGTTCCTCTTGCTGTTTTTTTCTCTAAGCCTAACAAGTGCAGCTTAAAATTATAACCAGGTTTTCCTGGGTTCCTAGAAACTAGCAGGGAGGACACAGGAACTTTGAGGATGTATCCGCAAGGCAGGTAGCCGGTTAGCATCAGAATTCGAGGCTCCCTGAGATTGTCTGCTCCTAAGTGTATACTATTCATTGGGCAGTGCTTTGTTTAAGATCTGTTATGTGCCCAGCAGTCTTCTAGGGATAGAGCAATGAACAAAACTAAAATACCTGCTTTCTATGAACTTTACAAAAAATACAACAAATGTAGCTGGGCGTGGTGGCTCACGCCTGTAATCCCAGCACTCAGGAGGCTGAGGCAGGAGGATCATTGTGAGTTCAAGACCAGCCTGGGCTACAAAGTGAGCTCAAGGTCAGCCTGAACTGCATAGTGAGATCCTGTCTCAAAATGACAAAAACAAAAACAAAAACAAAAAAACCTCAAAGTTTAAATTTTTTTTTAAAAAAAATTAGAAGCTGAGTGTGGTGGGTCACACCTGTAATCCAGCACCTGAGAGGCTGAGCCAGGAGGACTGCTGTGAGTTCGAGGCCAACCTAGGGGACATAGCGAGTCCAAGGCCAGCCTGAACAGCCTGAACTACATATAGTGAGACCCTGTCACACACACAAAAAAATTAAAAATTATAATAGAAAACACATTGCCATTAATTCCCCTCAGAATACTCCCCCTTGCTTTTAACACACTTCATCCCGTCCTTCTTCCCACTTTCTGAAGCACTTCTACAAGTTCTCCTTCATGAATGTCTCTAGTTGCGCTGTTAAGGCTGCCTCCATGTTCTCAGTTGATTCAAAACATTAAGCTTTTGTGGTCATTTTGACTTTAGGAAAGAGATAGAAGTCACACTGTGCAAATCTGGTAGACACGGGAGCACTGTAAAATTTTATGAGCCTACCTTTCCACTGGATGGCACTCAGCAGCAGCACTCCCTGTATTTCTTACTGTACCTTATGAAGACACCCATGAAAGGATTTCTAGAATTGCTTCAGAGTCGCAAGAAAAATGGGATTAGTGTGTTTGAAGCAAGAGGGAATTTTTTTTGTTGGGGGAGGGTTTGGTTTTCTTTTTTCCAGTACCAGGAATTGAACTCACAACCTTGCGCTTGCCAGGCAGGCGCTGTGCCGCTGAGCTAAATCCCCACCCCCAAGAGGGAATTTTTTTTGAGGGGTAATGGTAATGTGTTTTTTACTGTGACATATTTTTAAAAATGTAAACATTCACTGTGTATTTTGATCATTCCTCATATATTACAGTCACATAGTAGACATAGAAGACAGTAAAATAGTAGCACAAATTGGATGTTGGACAGTAGTAAGTACTGTGGATAAAAGTACAGCTGAGCAGTGGAAGGAAAAGAAGTGCTGAGGTGAAAGTTGGGATTTTAAGCACAGCAGCTGGGTCAGACCTTTCTGGAATGACGGTGTTTGAGCCGTGATCCCGAAGCAGTGCTGCTGTGCTGGCTCTCCCAGTTCTGCAGTGACTGGGATGCAGAGTGCTTGCGTGCTAGGAATTCTCTTGGTGAGTCAGGGTGATGCTCAGACCAGACCTCAGTGTCCTGATGCCCACCATCAGCGGCACAAAAGTCACCTCTTCGTCTCTGCTCACGCAGTCTCTTTTTCTCTTCTGTTTCTAGGAACATGCTTTTGAAAGCAGCCAGAAATATAAAGAAGGCAAGTACATCATTGAACTAGCACACATGATCAAGGACAATGGCTGGGACTGAGCGGACAGCAGCCACCCAACCCAGTGTCCACGTGAACGCCATCCACCCGAACACCCTACCCCGTGTGAGAGAGTGACTGAACACTTGGTTCCATCCATTTGGGGGCCTTGCCATCTGGGGCGTCCTCCCACCCCAACACCATCTTTCTGGTGACCGGCCTCTAAATCGCTGTCTCTCTGTCTCTTTGCTTTGTATCTGTTTGTGAGTTGATCCTGGCTTCTCTCTCTGTTCTAGTTTTTGCTGAAAACAAAACAACTGAAGGAACAGATCCTTGACCGCACGGCAGCAGCCCACCTTGCTAAGGGTCCCAGGGCCCTGCGAGAGCTGCCCGGCGGCCTCTTGTCAGGAGAGCAGTGGCACGTGGGTGTAAGGAAGAGGGAAAAGGGGAGCCCTGAGGTCCTGGGGGTGGGCAGGGGGCGGAGGGTGGAGGTAGGGCAGAACTGCACCGCTCCTGGAAACCTGGTAACAGGCTTGAAGTATTCGACTTGTCTAAATGGACAAAGAGAAAAAATAATACCTCATGATTGCATTCTCTCTGATCGGAAGCCTCTCTTCCTGACACCAAAAGTGCCAGGATAGCAGATGAGCACAGAGGGGCCCTAATTCTAGCTGACAGGGCAAAGGGCCTGGTTCTCTCCGGCTGAGCTGGGGAGAGTCCGGGTAGCAGGGAGTGAGGTGGGTGCAGCCCAGATGGGTTTTGATGACTCTGATGCTTCACACAGCCTCTGGGTAATCATCGCCTTTGCATCCTCGGCCCCTGAAGGCAAGTGCGGAGGGGACTGTCGTTTGCAATGGGTGTGAGATGGAACTATCCCGAAGGCTTTGACAGTCAACCACGGAAAATGAGAAACTGAGGAGAGCAGGGCGTAAGGGGGTGTTGCAGCTTGGGAGCTCCTGAAGAATGGCTCACATGTTGAGCCAGAGAAACAAAACATGGAGCCAGTTAGTAATTCTGACTGCTTTTCTTTTCCTGACCCTCAATAAGAGTGCTACGGCGGGGGAGGGGTTGGGAGGGACCATGGGAGGAGTGATCAGATGAGTGCATATTTCCTCTTTGTTTATCAGTGGGATCAGCAATCCTTTGTGTGCAGTGTTTCAGCTGTCTAGTCCAGTTCCATCATTGTCGACCATGGGAAACACAGACCTAAGGCTTTGAGCCTGGTGATCACCTGGTTGGTGGATTCCTCCTGCCCCTCGTTGTTCTTTTTGGATCTGACTGTCTTGTGTGGCAGAGATCTATTAATGTGGTCCAGCAGTGGGGAGGGCTTACAGATTCCTATATTATCCTCTGCCCCTACCCTCCCATCCAAGCTTCATTGTGTTAGGGAAGTGGAGAACAAATCCTGTAAGACTTGAGAGAAGGAAGAGTTTGTTACATTTGATCCACACTGTGAAGTCCTTTCAGTGGCAGTCCAGCCAGTGTACGGTGCATGACCGCAACTCGTTTCACTGAGTTAATTTCATTTCATAGACCGAGAACATTATTAAGATACGTGTGTATTAGGTAATTCTTAGCATCTCATTCTGCAAGTAGGCTGATCCTATAGGAAAATGCAGCTTTAAAGGTCTCAAAAAAAAAAAAAAAAAAAAGACAAAGTCCATGGAGATAATTTTCTGTTAGATTAATTAACAATGAATAAAGCAGCCAACCCAGGACATTTTCGGAATCACATCTGTAGTAAAACTGAATTCCCATAGGGAGGGAAAATGGTGGAAATGCCTCTTTGGGTCCATGTGCTGATTGCAGAATGGGAGATGGAGCACTGACACGACCCTTCTCTGGCAGCGGCACATGGCAGGATGATAGGAAGCCGGGTGGCCCTTGTCTAGCGGCAGACTACCCCTCCTCCATGAAAAAAAGGCTCCTAGAAATGACCTAAGGTCCTAAGGCACCTTGTCCAGCCCTTTCTGGTGCTTTCATAGCCCTGGAGATTACGTTGTTCTCCCTACTTTATTACAAGACAGACTTGGAAGGTTCAGAAGTATTTTATTTCTGCTCCCAAAGAAATTATCCCCTGGATCCCAGGCCCAAGTTCTCAAACATTTTTCAACTTTCACATTCCTAAGCTGGCTTGCCAGAACAGAAATCATGGATTTCCCATCTCTGTCCTTTTAAAGGAAGTGGCCTTCAATTTATGGATTTGATTAGATCTTTTGCCTAGAGAATGTCCTGGCTATTAAGCGTTCCTTTCATTAAACAAATAAAACAAATGGGGGGTTTTTGCAATCTAGGTAGATGTTTTGTCTCTAAAACTACAGTTGGAATATGGTGACATAGAAACTGGACATGGGTGCCCTGGATTGTCAGGGGGCAGAGAAAGAGACCAGTGTGCCACTGTCCTCCCGTTGGGGATGGGGCCTGGATCACAGCAGGCTGCAGTCAGACCCTGGTTCTGATGGTTTCAGTTACTATCCATGGAGTATGCAATGGGTGCAGGGCACCATAGTTGGTGCAAAAGAATGAGCGTTGGTTTCCACAGCTACAAGAAAGAGGAAAAGAAAACTCATTAGGCTTCCCTTTGTGTTAGTGAAACCAAAAGTGCTTCTTATACCGTTGATTCTATTTGCGGCTTGTCGTTCTAATAGCAGTATTGGGGAGGCCGCGGCTGAGCAGCAGAGACGCATCACCTCATGGCCTCGGTCGGTTTATTCTTTTTAATTTCCTCACCAAATTATCAACTCAGAGCATAACCAAAGACCTCACCCATTCACCCCACATAGGTTCAGGGAATCGGAGTCTGTTGGTTCCACTAGGGCGGGGGCGGGGGGGGGTGCTCGGGGAGCAGGGGAGGGGAGGGGCAAGTGAGAGAGGGAGAGGCGAGAAGCTCCATACCTCAGCCAGCAGTGCCTGCGCTTTGAGCTGTAGGCCTGCGGGCAGACTTGAGTTCCATCTGCCCTGTGTCACCCTGGGTCACATGGCCTTGGCTACTTCGAGGACACCCAGGCCCCTAGGATAGTAGTCTCAGGCTGCTGATGGGTTGATTTGATGTGACTCGAACACAGCCAAACTTGATGCCCACAAGCTCTCAGCTGGGCCTGACAGTGCGGCCCCAGCTCCTTTGACCATAAGATCATGTGGACAGGGCACAGTACGTCTTCACGGGCGGGCAATGTGTGCGCAAGAGGTGTCCCCTTTATAATGAGATTTTCAAGTAGAGAAATATATATATATATAAAACAGTTGCTTGTGAAATATACTTTTGTAAATAATATTTAATTTTTTAAATAATATATTTGGTGCTGTTTTCTCAGATCCCCTGAGAGCACTTTTTATTTTCATTTTAAATTCTATGATTTCCTCTGCATTTCTTGAAGTACATTTTAAGGGAAACAGTAATCACCAATATACTTTTGTTTTTAAAAGACCTCTATCACTTTACTCTGAATCAAGGCTTTAAAGCAATGCCTGTCTGCATTTTTTCCCCCAGTGGAACAGACTCTGCAGTAAATTACCAGTTGAGAACTGAAATATTTTCTTGCAGTAGTATGGGCTGGAAGAGAAAGTAAAACCAAGTAAATTTACTAGTGAGGACTTAGGGCAATTGCTCTTGTTGGAAGAAGTTCCAACACATTGGAATCTTGTTTTTAAGTGTGCGCGTGTCTGTGTATGCGTGAGCGCGTGCGCGTGCATGGGTGTGCATGAGTGAAAGCACTTTGGAATGTGCCTCTTGCTTTATTTTCTACTAGGGACACTATACCTACAGTTTACACCTTGGGCGCATAAGGTTTTTCTTCTTTCTCTCTGGTTGTTTTCGTTTCGGAGTGGACCAACAGCATAAGCTGAGAGGTTTTTGTTTTCCTGAGCATGGAGCTGTTGCCAGTTTTTTCCGTTTTCTTTCTTTGTGTGCTCACCTTTTACAGACTGTAAAGGAAATCTGTTTGTGAAGATCAAGCAGAGTCAAATCTGTGCTTCTGACTGAGATGTGAGTGTATTAATCAAGTATCCCAGGGCTCTGGTTGTTTTAGAAGCCAATGATGTTGAACATTAACTGGTTTGGGTTAAAAGAGCATTAATAACATAATACTCATACCTTGTAGGTAAACAACGCTTTTTATTTTTTAAGATCAGATTGCCTCAGGTTCAGGAAGAAGCTGGGGAATCAAATCTTGAACACAATCAGCTTACGCATTTAAAAAGAATCTGCCTAAAATAAATGCTAGTCCTGTAGGTACAGGAAATAAATGATTGATTTTTAAAAGTTAAAACACAGTCATGTAATCTACGGGCAGTAAAAGAGAAAGCCGAGAAGAAACAAGGTATTCTCTCGCTGCCCACGTTTTATATAACATTTTGGAGAAAGCGGGAGTTGGTTCCCTTTCCCCAGCCTGCAGAGACTGTCTTACAACACGGAATCTGTCTACTTCTGCTTGTGTTTACAAACTATATTTGTTGGGTTTGGGTTTGTTTGTTTGTTTTTGTTTTCTTTGATGGCATTTTTTCAGGTCACTTTGCTTCGATAACAAAGGTAATTGTTTTTGAATAATTTGTTTTCACCTTTTCCTGTATTTGTACATAGTGATTCAGTATTACTGTAGAGAAAAATGCATTGTTTCTGTCATATTTCCAATCTGTGTTGGTGCTCATTTGAGAAAATAAAGTTTTCAAATATTAACCCTGTGGAGAGCTCATTTGTCTTCTTTGACCCGCTGTGTTTAATCTTGACATTTAACATTTCAAGTATGGAAAGGCCCATAGGAGGTCATCTGTCTAACCCCGGCGCAGATCAGTCCACTGAGATCATAAGAGGTTATTTTTCCTAAGGACAATCAGCCAATTAATGAATGTAAGGCAGGTCTCCTGCTTATCGGCAAATGCTTCTTCTGGCTTTAGCTATCTAAAGCACACGCATGCATGACCTTTAACCAGTATTCTTAGACTGTTTTTTTGAAACCTCATTTTCATTGATTGCATTAAGTAAAGAGGGAAAAAGTAAAGCCCCAAAATTATGTCAAGGGGGAGTGGAATCATCTCTGAAAGACTGACGAATGAAGGGATAAATATTCACGGTTATAATATTTGGAAAATAAAGATCAAGTCTTCTTGGTCACCAAATATTTATTAAATAAATACTAGATTTCAGGCCTGGGTGAGGCAGTTCTATCATCCTAATAGATCAGCTGTTTTTATTCTCACAGTAGCCTTCTAGTCTTGAATATCCAATCTTTATAAGTACAGTACTGTGTTCTGGTGCCTTTGTTCATGAAGGCTCAACTCTTAAGGGTCTGCTTCCATATCTTACAGAGGTCTCCTTTGCACAGGAAGCCTGAATGTTACAGAAAAATGTTAAAACGCCAGTGTGTCTGTGTTCACCATAGTGATAATTTTTATAAACCTGTTTATAAACAAGGAAACACCTTCCCTAGTTCCCACAAATTTCAACCTACCCTCTCTGGGCTCAGCTGCAGTTGACTTTTATGTGTCATTGAGTGTATTATCTTCTCCCTGTGACCTGTTTTGCTTCAGTGGACGTGCCTGTTATCATTTCATTCTTGTTTGCTTTTGCAGACAGCGACAGGAGAAAAACCTAGCATGTGCAGGAGACAACCAGTCTCAAGCTAGCAGTCCTTGGGCCCTCGGTCTTGCAGGCTCTTGTTCCCCCGGGTGGCTGTGGCTGTCTGGGAGAGCAGGCTGGGAGAAAAGGAGGGGACACGAATGTTTACAGAGGGGTTGGGCTGGTGCCAGGCCCTACGGTGTTGGAGCTTTGCCCCATGACCTCGAGCAGGGACCCCAAAAGGAGGCACCCCCACGTCATCCTAGGAGTCTTCGCTGTCGCCTTCCTGTGGGAAAGCAGTGGCAAATGCTGATTATCATTTTGTAGGTGATGAAATTGAGGTTTTGCAAGCTTTCGTTATTAGTGATGGGGTTGGGAATGGTAGCCCCGTCTGACTTCTCTCCCTGGTTCTCCCCCTGTACTGTGTTCTAAGTGTTAGCGTCTTTCCTCCAGCCTTGTGAATTCTTCTGTGGCTTCACAGGAGGCTTTCCATCTTGACTGGTGAACAGCAGTCTGTCCATCTTGACTGCTTCACAATAAATAAGGCTTGAGGGAGTGCAAATTAGAAGATCAACATAAAAGAGCTACGAAAGTCAGCGCTACTTGAAAGGGACCCGAGTTCCATTGCTGAATGTAAGCTTGGATTTGCTGTTTCTTAATACTCTTATCTCATCCTGTAGGTATCCTTGGTACTTCCATTAATAGTAGGTGATGAATAAATGCTTGATGGACATTAAGTTAGTAGAGAAGTAACAGTTAACAGCTTTTTAAAATCCATTTAAGGGCCGGGCGTGGTGGTACACTCGGGAGGCTGAGGCAGGAGGATCCTTATGAGTTCGAGGCCAGCCTGGGTTACAGAGTGAGCTCAAGGCCAGCCTGAACTGCATAGTGAGACCCTGTCTCAAAAAGACGAATGAATAAGTGAATAAATATAAATCTGTTTATGCTGGCCACTGTTGGCATGTGCCTATAATCCCAGCACTCTGGGAAGCTGAGGCAGGATGATAGAAAATTGAAGCCCAACCTCTGCAAGGACCCAGTCTCAACAATTAAAAAAGGGCTGGAGATGTACCTCAGTATGAAGGCTCTGCGATCCATTCCCAGTACCA